ATTTTTGGGGACGCCTTCTAAGTTCGCGATTGCGAACGCTGTGGTGCAGGCCGTGGTGAGCCGCACCGTTCACGTTCCGCCTGCCACGCAGATACTTGTGCCGCTGCACCTTAAAAAACAGTTGCCTTTCGATGAGCAACGGGAGGGTATATTGCTGACACCCTCAAATGCTGTATCACGGATGCCCACTTTGGTAGGGGCGTTGACTATTGTACCGGCAAATTGCGACCCTTTCATACAAATTGTAAATGCGGGACACAAACCGGTCGTCATTCAGGAGGGTACCACGTTAGCACATGCAACGGCAGCGCCGGGTCCGGAAGGGGAGGCGTGTTTGGCAACGGGACAGAGTGAGATGTTGTTGGATGACGGAGAGGATCCGGACTGGTTGCGAGATCTTTATATGCAAAACCCCGAACTAACGCCTGTGCAACGGTCGCGTCTTCATGGGTTGCTCGTGGAATTTAAAGATGTGTTCAGTTCAGGTAAATATGACGTGGGTCGTACGTCGTTGTTGCGGCATCATATTGACACTGGGAATGCACCCCCAATCAGATTGAATACCCATCGTGTAAGTCCGCTGGAGAAAGATTGTATTCGGCGAGCCGTTGATGAGATGTTAGAACAGGAGATCATTTCTCCTTCATCCAGCCCGTGGCGAGCTCCTATTGTACTCGTTAAAAAGCGTGATGGGGCCATGCGATTTTCTGTTGACTACCGAAAACTAAATAAGGTTTCTGTGGCGGAAGCGTATCCGCTCCCACGTATTGATGATTCACTAGACGCCCTGTCCGGTGCAAAAAAATTTTCGACCCTCGATCTGTTGTCGGGCTTTTGGCAATTGCCCCTGGATGAGGAGTCTAAACCCAAGACCGCTTTTCGGACACCACACGGGTTGTTCCAATTCAATGTACTCCCGATGGGGCTCCATTCCGCGCCGGCCACCTTCCAACGATTAATGGAACTCGTGTTGTCAGGACTGCAGTGGGAGTCGTGGTTAATATATCTGGACGACATCATTGTTTTCAGTAAGGATTTTGACGAACATTTGCAACGGTTGCGTGCTGTTTTTGGCTGAGTGCGGCACGCTGGATTGAAATTTAAACCCCAAAAGTGCCATTTGTTAAGGACGTCGGTTAAATATTTGGGGCAGGTTGTTAGCGTGTCTGGGGTGGCCACTGATCCAGAGAAGACGAGTTGCGTGCGAACGTGGCCGGTACCGAAAATAGTAGGGGAGGTGCGTAGCTTTGTGGGCTTCGCGTCGTATTACAGATGATTTCTTAAGGATTTTGCCACGATTGCGAGGCCATTGCACATGCTCACCGGTAAGGGTGTGAAATTTCAGTGGGGGGACGTGGAACAACGATCGTTTGAAGTGCTGCGGGCCGCGTTGGCGGACGCACCTCCGCTTGGATATCCGGATTTTACGAAAACCTTTATTCTTGACACAGATGCCAGTGATACAGGCATAGGCGCGGTTTTGTCACAAATGGTTGACAGTGTTGAAAATGTTGTGGCATATGGCAGCCGGGTGTTGTCCCCGGCCGAACAGAAGTATTGCATAACGTGCAGGGAGTTGCTGGCCATCGTGCACTTTGTTCGACTGTACCGACCGTATTTGTATGGCAGAGATTTTTTGATCCGCACTGATCACGCAGCACTACAGTACTCGTTGCGAGTTGACCAGCCGTCAGGACAGATGGCCCGTTGGCTCGAGACCCTCCAGGAATACTCTTTCACGATCCAGCATAGAAAGGGGACGCGTCATGTTAACGTTGATGCATTGCCAAGATTGCCGCAACCGACTGGCTCGTGTCGGTGTGCAGAGGGCTCGCTGCGTTGCGGTCTGCCGCTGCAGGACGTTCCGACAATGGTCGCTGCAGCGGATTCAATTCAGCCGGAAGCGATTCCCGCTGTGGGATCGGGGTTGTTGGGGTTGACGTTGGGTCAGTGGAAGCACTTACAGGTGGATGATTCCTCCCTGACCAGGATGAGGCTTCGTGCCTCTCGCTCAAGGGGATCGGAAGATCGCCCCTTTCTAAACTCGTTGATGGTCTCCTCGTTCTGTATTGTTGTTCCGATTGTGTTGCGCGGGAAACTCATTAGTGATACTCATCACAAATTGATGCATTTGGGGGAGAAAAAGACTGCGCTGACCTTGGGGAAAGATTTCTACTGGCCGGGGATGTATAACGATGTTCAGCGAGTCGTAAAAGAATGCCATGAATGTGCACGGCGGAAGGCGCCGCCGCGACCCTATTGTATACCATTGCAATCGATAAGGGTTTCGCGTGTCAACGAAATTCTTGCCCTAGATATATTGGGTCCGTTTCCCGTCACCCCCCGGGGGCATAAGTATCTGCTCGTCGGGGTGGAGTACCTTACTCGCTGGCCTATGGCATGGCCACTGGTGGACCAATCTGCGGCGTCGATCACAGAGGCTTTCTTGCAGGGATATGTTTTCGATAAGGGCGCCCCAGAACACTTGTTCACTGATTAGGGCAGAAATTTTTCGTCACGATTGCTTAAGGAGGTGTGTGATTCATTAAGGACCAAAAAGATTCGAACGTCCCCGTACCACCCGCAAACCGACGAGATGGTCGAGCGCCTGCATAGGACGCTGACGTCTATGCTTTGCCACCAGGTTAATGCTTCACTGGATGATTGGGACCTGCATGTTGCGGCGACGCTGGCCGCTTATAGACTGGCCCCGCATGCCTCGACGGGGTACTCGCCGTTTTATTTGATGTATGGGCGCGAACCAGAAGCGCCGGCCTTGGTCAAATTGGGTGTACAAAAACAGGAGAAGTCATCGACGGTGCCTGCTCCTATGAAGGTGGCATTGGATCGTCTGAAAGAGGCTCGGGAGGCCTCGTTGGGTAAATGGTGCGACGACAAGCCGCCAACGAACGGTTGCATGGTACGCAGCGGCCTCGAGAGCCGTGGTGTGTTGGGGACAAAGCGTGGTTGCATTGCCCCATGGTACCGGTGGGAATGTCTCCAAAGTTCCATCGGCCCTGGCAGGGGCCCGTTGAAGTCGTTGAGGTTCTCTGGGACCAAAGAGTACGGATTCTATTCGGTTGTCGAATATGGTATATTCACCTGTCGCGCCTTAAGTAGTTTGTATTGCCGTATGACGCGTCATCTCCCATCCCAGAGCGGCCTGTATTGGATGTGTCCGACAAGCCTGTGAGGAGGTCACATGTGTACGCGCCTCAGAAATCTGCCTCCCGTGTGCCTGCAGGACCATCCCTATTGACTCGACGAGGGGGTTCTGGCAGGTTGGCTGGCCGGACGCCGGTTGACCGGCCGCAACCTCGAGATACTGTCCGGCCCGCGCAGGGACGAGGGACGGTCCCACCGGCAGATGGTCGCTGGGACAGGGACGGGTCTGCGTCAAGGACCAGACGCAGCCCTCACTTAATGGAGGAGCGTGGCCCGCCCTTGCCCCATGGTGTCCCATATAGGGGAAATGGGCCGGCAGCTGGAACTTGCTCCCGAGGACGGATCTTCCATTGACTCTGCGTGTTACGGTTCCTGTACAAAGTTGTTATGTTGTGTTCGTTGTTATGTCCTAGGTACTCCACTACCCAGAGGTCGAAGTGTTGTCGTAGCTGGGACGCCTAGATTTTTTCATCACGGCAGGGGGGGGGGGAGTGATGTAGTGGAGTATGAAGGTGCGTGGTGGAGGCGGCGTGATTGCATGATCACACATTCAGTATGGGTTATCTTGGGTCAGCCTGTAGCGAAGGCAAAAACAGTATGGGTCATGTAAGGACAGCCAGGTGCAAAGGCTGGGATGATGAGGTAACGGTTGGGCCAATTAAGCCAGGGGACCAGCAACAGTGGTGATTTGCTGAGGCTGTTGTCAAGGGCGAGGAGGCGTCGAGATGTCTGGAGAAAGACGGATGTTTGAGGACGCGTAGCGTGGAGAGGCATGCGGGACAATTAATTAGGGGTAATGAGAATGGAGATAAAATGGGGAGACACACAGAGAGTCGGGAAGTGGAAGTTGGGAGCTGGACGAAGCAAGACGTGGAGTTGGGAGAGCTTGGAGTCAACAGGGGGAATAGAAGTGTGGAGAGTTGAGAGACAGAGTTTGAGAGACAGAGTTTGGAAGACAGAGTTTGAGAGACAGAGTTTGAGAGACAGAGTTTGGAAGACAGAGTTGAGAGACAGAGTTGAGAGACAGAGTTTGAGAGACAGAGTTGAGAGACAGAGTTGGAGAGACAGAATTGGAAGGAGAGAGCGTAGCGATAGCGAAGCTGAACAAAGACGAAGTAGTTAGCAGTGGAGTGAGCGTAGCAATAGCGAAGCTGAGCAAAGACGAAGTAGTTAGCAGTGGAGTGAGCGTAGCGATAGCGGAGCTGAAAAAGAGAATAGCCAGCAGTGGAGTGAGCATAGCGATAGCGGAGCTGAAGAGAATAGCCAGCAGTGGAGTGAGCGTAGTGATAGCGGAGCTCAAGGCGCTGTGTGCGAAGTCGCTGAGTGCAAAGACGCTGCGTGCGGAGTTGCTGAGCGCGGAGTTGCTGAGTGCGGAGTCGCTGAGTGCGAAGCAAGCGAAGTGATCGTGGGGGATTGGAGAGACAAAGGTGGCGAGCGAGTCGAGTGAAGCACGGCGAGCGAGTCGTGGCGACCTGGATATTGTGGAATGTGGAGGACATGATGAGAATTGTAAATAAAGCGGCGTTCGGAGAAAGACTGAAGTTGTCCGAGTGAAATCGAACACTACACATATACTGTAATCCAACAATGTGATGAATCTGCTTTACTATGACATGTGTATTTTCCTGTTCTGTGAAATGTTCACGTGGCAATGTTGTCATAGTGGAAACTTGCGGACATAGATGCACAGTTAGTGTGTGTTGTCCATCTCAACACTACTGAGGCCTATAATTCAGAATGATCTCTACTCCCCTAAATGAATGCACATCCAGAGACACAGTCGATAGAACATTTATCATATCTGCCTACATTTGTTCATCGTGTTCTCCCAATAGATAATTCATCAGCTGAGGATGCAGCACTTACAGGGGCTCCGATTGGAACACATGGAAGCAATGAAGAAAAAAATGGAAGCGGAATAAAAACGAGGTAGAGAGTGCATCCCCACACCCGGGCTCTGATGATGATAATGAACTAATCGTGCGTCTATGTCAATCCTACCTTCCTTTGCCACTGTTGAGTGCAGCTGCCTGGTGAGTAGTGTATTAGCGTCAAGTCCGTATCACATGAATCGCTCTCAGCATCACATAGCTAAAATGAAGAATCGTTACATAAATCAATCTGAATGGTCAATGTGTATAACACATTGTGTCGTATGAATATTGTAATTTTATACAGTTCAGAATATTTTCGGAATGTCTTAAAATTCACAAATTACTCACAAAACAAATACTTTAGTGATACTGTATTGGCAATGGTGCATGAGCACACAATACAAATTCAACGTATTCATCAATAGCACTACCCTACAAGGCAAAATATATATTATAGGCAACATTTCAAGCAATGGCCATTTTTCATAGGACATATAACAATTACTATTATATGGTCATTGACAGTCAAATCTCTCTGCCAATGTTATTGATTTTCAATCAGAAACGATGGGTAACGCTTGCGGCTGTTCCACTCAGTGTTATCCCAGCTGTTGTCAGTCACAAGTGAGACCCAAGCCGCTTTTGTGCAATTGTAAATGAAGTCCCAGCTGCATTACATTGTTATTGAAGCATGATATGATCTACCCTGCTGGTGATTTGAAAACTTGTCACGGTTTGAGGTAAAGCTTAGATTTAAGATTCAATGTTTTTCGTCTCATACTTTGTCTCATTTGTGTTTGTTTCTTGTTCTCTCATGTGTACAGTTTTGTTAGAACCTTGAGCCTAAGAGAAACATTAAACATGGTTTGCATCGGTGTTATGTCATGGAATCGCACAGGCATGACCCGATGTGTGCATCGGGTCATGCATGTGCAGTCTCTCCTCTGCAGTCAACGCTCACTGCAGAGGAGTGGCTGCCACTCCTCTGTCGGGAGCTGGACTGGTACCGCCTGGATCTCTGTGGTATTCAGGAGGTCCGGTGGACCGGCCTTGGATCCTGCCACCATGAGGGGTGGACAGTCATCTTCTCGGGGCAGGAGACTGCCAAACAACAGGGAGTGGCTCTTCTTATCAACAAAAGAGTGAAGGGGGCGTGGTAGCATGGCGGTGAGATGTGGAAAGCTGTAAGCCCCAGGCTACTTCGGGCTCGCCTTCCCATCAACCAGAGGCGAGGAGTAGTGGTCGTGGTTACTTATGCCCCCACCGAAGACGAACATCCGTGGAGGGATGCAGGCAAGGCCGATGAGTCATATGCCTTCTTTGACCTCCTGTCTAGCTAAAGTGGCCCCTCGGGATAGAGTCATCTTGTTGGGTGACTTCAATGCCCAAATTGGTCATGATGCTGGCCCCCGGTCTGGAATTATTGAAAGGCATGGGCCAGATCAGCTCAATAACAACGGCAGGAGGCTGCTAGATTATTGTGCAGCCCATGGGCTTGTAATTATCAACACACTGTTCCGGCATCGGCACATCCACACAACATCATGGATGCATACCGGGTCCAAGCAATAAGATCTGCTGGACTATATAGTGACGGAACAGCAGATGCGGGCCCATGTTCTTGGCACCAGGACCTACCGTGGAGCTGATCTGCCCACTGACCATCGACTTGTCATCTGTAAGATGCGCCTGCCATTCTTCCACTCCAGTGGTTGGTGTACACCCAGGATCCCATTCAAATCTAAGGTGACCTGGTCTCAGCTAGCCGATGAAAGTTGCAAGCGAGAATTTCATGATTGCTTGCGGCTGGGGTTGGCATCGTCATCCACTCCTCCTGATGTCGAGGGGAAATGTGTGAGGTTTAGGACTGTGGCTCATGCAGCTGCAATGGCTGCTTTGGGTACACGGTCCAGACCTCCCCAGAAACCCTGGCTGACAGAAGAGGTGTTCAAGTTGGCTGAGAAAAGGCGACAGGCCCACTCTCATGGCTACAGCATCCCACGTTGGAGAATGAGGAGGCTTACCGTAGCCTTCGCTCGGAGGATCGGAGAGCCGTGAGGCACTGCAAGGATGGGTGGTGGTCGCAGGTTGCTGAGGAGATGGAGTCTGCCTCAATGGCCCGCGATCACAAATCACTCTTTAATTTCATCAAAAAAGTAGCCTGCAGCGCCACACCTATTACCATCATTAGGGGAAAGAACGGTGATGCAATCTCAGACCCCCAGGAACAGGTTTGCAGATTTGCTGAGCATTTATGTGAGGTCCTGGGGGGGGGGGGGGGACATCCCTCAGCCTGGATAACGTGGGACAAAGTGGGGATGACCCTGCCGAGGCTGCGGTGCCTCAAATATTAGAAGTCACCCCTGGTGACTGGCTGGCTGAGGTGAGGAAGTACTGAAGGCGATCCAGAGTCTGAGACCAGGAGGGGCACCGGGCAGAGATGATCTCCCAAGCGAAATGATGAGGGAAGGTGGCGTTTGTGCACAGTCTGCCCTACATGACATCATAACAACAGTCTGGAGCACTGGATGGGTTCCGCAGAACTGGAAGGATGGCCTGGTGGTCCCCCTCTTTAAGAAGAGGGACCGCATAGACTGTAACAACTACAGGGGCATCTCACTCCTCAGTGTGCTGGGAAAGGTCCTGGCAAGGATTATTCAACATTGCCTTGCTAGGCACGCTGAGGAGAGGCTTGCGGAGCCCCAATGCGGTTTCAGGAAAGGGCGGTCCTGCACAGATGCCATATTTTCTGTCCGTCTGCTACAACAGAGGTGTTGGGAATTCCAACAAGACCTACATCTCTGCTTTATTGACCTGGTCAAGGCGTATGACACCATCAGTAGGCCTGTGCTCTGGGTTGTTCTTCGTGCTTTTGGAGTCCCTGACCCTCAGCTCACAATCATTAAGGACCTTCATGATGGTGAGCGGGCCCGGGTAAGACGATGTGGTCGGGAGTCGGAGCCATTCGCTGTACACCTTGGGGTGCGACAGGGATGTCCTCTAGCTCCCACATTATTTAACATCTATTTCGACCACGTAGTTCATGAAGACTTCAATAGCTGTACCAGAGGAATTTCCATCTAGTACAGATTCAATAGGAGGCTGATTGATGCCCGGGTGCAGTCCAGGGATGGCTCCCTATTACTCAACCATGTTATGCATGCCGATGATCTGGTAATCGCTGCTCACTCAGAGGAGGAGTTGGAGGTGCTGCTGCTGAACCTGGAGCTTGCGACTAAAAGGTGTGGCCTTACCATCAGCCCCACCAAAACTAAGCACCTGTCTGGGTATTTTGTACCATCGGACACTCCACCCCCACAGCTCCCAATTGGTGATGGGGCAATTGTGGAAAGAATGGAGAGTTTCCCATATCTGGGCAGTGTGCTCATGACCAGCTCCGGTTTAACAGCAGAAGTCTCTCTCCGAATCAGTCGAGTGGCATTGTGTTTTCATCGGTTGTGTAACGCTGTGTGTCGCTCCGCACGAAGCTTCAGGTCTTTCGGCCACAGTAATTCCCTCCCTTCTCTACGCTTGCTAAACGTGGACCCCCCTAATGGAACATCTTCGCTGGTTAGAAACATTTAGGCTGGCCTGCCTACGATCCATCCTGGGTTTAACCAGGCTGGATTGTGTGAGGAGCTCACAAATCCTTGAAAGATCTGGACAAAGTCCCATCGGTGAGCTCCTCTGGCAGGCAAGGCTGTGTTGGCTGGGCCATGTTGCCCGCATGCCCAGTCACCGCATGCATAAACAGCTTTTGTTCGGCTGGATTGAGGGGGCTAAACGGGCGCGGCATGGGCTAGAGAAGAGATGTGGTACGGGAGAATGTGGAGCTGAGTGGACTTGCCAATGACTGGTACCAGCGGTATCAAGATCGCCCTCTGTGGAGGAGGCTCGTGAAGGACGCTACTGGGTAGTTGGAGGCAGTCGCCCTCCAACAACAATGGAGGGCGTAGGAGCGACGCTGACAACAACGAGCGGAGCGCCGGGTGGCTAAAGCACAGCAAGTTGGCACAGTAGGGGGCACAGGTGGTGCATCAGCCAGTCATCTCAGGCAGTCGACCCGTGGCAACTGGGTCTGCCCCATGACCTCCTGCCAGCGGGCGTTCAACACTTCATGTGGCCTCAAGGTGCACATAGCCTGGCACAAGCGTCGTGGTGACGTCACCGCCACTTGTGGCGAATGGCGGTTATCGTGAGCGTAATAATGTATATTTAAACCGATTAATAATGCATTGTCACATGTCTATGTTGTCACATGTCTGTGTTGTGTATACGTTCAATGTGGTTAACAAGCAGTTTGGGTTAGTAATTCATGCATTATCGAATCACGTGTGCACTGTATGTGTTGTAGGTATCGCTTCGTTGTGGGCAGCAGAGGGCAGTGCAGAAAATCCCATTGTTACTTTGATGCTTCTGCATGTATGCTCCCCACCTTAACCAGCCCGCACTGTCTAGCATGGTGAAGTATGGTCAATTAAACCCCATGACATACATGCCATGGGGTGGCCCTTTTCCAGCAGCAGTATTAACAAAGAGCTGTACATATATAGGAAACCCTTGAATATCGCAGGCTTATCGTTCACGGTTTCGATCTATCTCGGGTAACCTCTTTGTGTACCAATTTAGCTACCGCGGGGGTTAGTTTTGGCCTTTTGCTGTCAGTGGCACCTTTGCCGTGCAAGCACCTTGCTGACAAAAACAAAGACCCCGTATCGCCTTAACTGACTTGGGGAATTTTGCTGTTAGCGAGCACCTATGACGGCCAGCACCACGCGTTTGTCTCCCCAGTGGAGATATTTACACATCGCACCAGGTACTTATTTGAGGCTGAGTCGACATGAGGGAGGCCCAGGACCGAATTAGATAATCGTCACTGCGTTTGGGCGTGAGCGGGAATCGAACTTAGGTCGTCGAGTATTATAGAGCAGCGCGCTAACCATTGCACTATCGCTCCCCACTAGTGGACAAACACACCCGCTTTGGATAATCATCAACGGTAAACAAAGTATGTATTCAGTATTTATAGTCCTTTTTATTATCTAGGATGTTTTATATGGCTTATTACATATTTAAATTTAGTTTTAAGTTAATTTGGCACAGAGACAGTACTTATTTCAATTGTGATGTTTATTTTTGGTTGCCGTATACCTAACCCTGTTATTTAGGGAAAGCTTAACGATTGAATAACGCGGTTTTGGCTTTCGTGGCACTATCCAAGAACGTAGCCCCCCGAGATGTTCGAGGATCTCTTGTACAACAAACATACAACTCCTCCCAGTGGCTTGCGTTCGTCTCCATATTAAGTTTAACAAATACGAGTCACCTGTCTCATTAAGTGCATGTGCTGCTGCATAAAGTGAAGCAGTGGCTCAGAGGCTGATCGATATTTTTGTGCTGCCTATAGCTTCTAAGCAACTGCACAGGAGGTGCCAAAAGCGTGACCTTGCTCCAAATAATAGCAGCATTGTTTGAAATATTTGCGCCGTTACAAATGCAAGTGCCCTTCACGTCCACCAACTGCGTTGCTGATTGCTTTTTCTTCTATTTTTCAGCTCAAGAGAAGAAGAGCTGCACCATTCAATAGTTTTGGACAAGTGCCCATTGAACATTCTGCCTTGTTAGGATGCGCTACAATTATACATCTTTACTATATTTACTCTCTCCAACAGTTATGTGAAGTGGTTTTACAATCCCACCACTATTGAATGCTTTTATATGCACAAACTCGTCTACAAAATGCAGCACTTAGTGGAAAATCTTAAATTAGAAACAGACTAACATGACCACAACTAGTACTTGTAACACAATGAAAATAAATAACATAATAGGAGTCACGTTGCCACAGGAACATGCGAGTGCACAATTGCCATAATTTAGTCAAGCAAATTCCAACAGTCATTCACCTGTATAAAGGTGCACTGATTATGCTCTTTGCTTGGTGTAAGCCAATTCGTTTTCTAGAATTTCACTTCAGATTTATGATCCCTTTAGTTGTGATTAAACATTTATACAGAACTCCTCTTAATTGTTACCCTATTATCCACTACTTTTAATATCCATGGCACTTGTAGCATCTGCAAAAAATATTCTTACCCAAGCCCTTTTCTTCCTATTATCCGCAAAAGCTGCTTCCTATTATCCATCATAATTGCTTCCGATTGCACCCCATATTATTCGTAGATAAATGGAGTCATGGCAAATTCCCACTTTTACCCGCAGCTTATCCGCAATGTTTTAAATTATGTATGGAGCTACAAAGAAAACACAATTTTTGCGCCAAAGTAAGTCCAGGTTTTTCTTTTTCTAAGAATAATTGTGCTCAATCATAGTATTAAATTTTGTAACGTCAAAGGTCATGACGTATTGTCAACTTCTGCTGTGCTTAAAAGACTGACCCCTCCCCAAACCCCCACAACTACTGAATCACGATGCTAAATAACTATTGTAACTCGTGCTAAACATCTGATTAAATATAATTATATTTCAACTAGCGGGAAGTACCCGGCGTTACCCGGGTGAAGAATATATTTCAAAACTTATCTTTAAAGCATTACATATACATAGTAAGCTATTGTGAAAGCCCGGTGGGCTGTTTATCCATTTCTCCACCAACAAAATTATAAGAGCCTTGCATTGCAGAAGTTCAAAAAGTTATTTATAGAAAGTGGGGGGTAAAAAATTGATAAAAATGTTTCCGAAAATTGTCGACCCCCCCCCCCCTCAAAAAATATTTGTACCCCCGCCTAGGCATACATACCTACACACCCTACATACAACAGAGTAAGTAGTATCTATTGACTCTGTAGTTGTATCTACTGACTGTACAGTAGTATCTACTGAGCCAGTAGTAGCTACTGACTGTTTAGTAGTATTTCGATTTAAAGCTTTCGTGACTGCAGGGATTCATCTTCTTGGTTCCTTCGGTAAAGTCACGTAGAATGGGGATAAAATAATAAAAATTAAAATACCCACGACGTTTCGGAGGCAACGCAAGCTTCCGTCTTCAGGTGGGACAGTCACAGCAAGATCGCTGATCAAGTGAGGAGGCTCTGAGGGCCTCGAGCTTAAATAGAGGTTAAGGGGGGGAGGGGTCAAGTGGGGGACATTGATGGGGTGTGGGGCTAAGTTAATCATTATTTTGTTCTGTTGATGGTGCGGTACGTCCGGTGGGGGACATTGATGGGGTGTGGGGCTAAGTTAATCATTATTTTGTTCTGTTGATGGTGCGGTACGTCCGGTGGTTCACTGCACGGGGGCAGTGGGAATTTTTTTGAGTTATACAATGCGTTACTGTGCACTACCCTATACTTTCGACTATAAAAAATATTAGACTTGTAATATTACATTGTCTTATTCTGTCAACCCTAATGTATGACACACTGCTGTAGATTCACTATATTCAACCTTTGAATTATACAATGTGTTACTGTGCATTACCCTATACTTTAGACTATAAAATACCAGACTTGTAATATTACACTGTGTTTTATTCTGTCAACCCTAATGTATGACACACTACTGTATATTTATTATTAAATTACGATAACATATATATTGCCTTATGAATTATGTTAAACATTACGATGCTGTACTCTTTATTATTATACTACATGTTATAAACCATACCATTGACTGTGGTGTGAAAGGTATCAAGAGGCAGTGCTAACGAATGGACTGCGGTATGAAGGTCACCGTAAAATACAATCAATTAAGAACTGAAATGGTTTATAACATATTTTCAATGGTTACTGATCAGTTAGACAAGATACTCTACAAATCACACTTATCATTGACGGCAACAATGTCCACATCGGATTGGGAACATGTAGACAATATGACTGCCTCTTCAGCTGCTACTATGTCGACCAAATGTAAGGACAACCTGATTTCCAAATTTAACCTCCTCTTCAACAAAAGACCGGACCCACACACCAAAAAGTTAGACGTTAACAAAGTCGTAATCAATCGCAGTAACAGCTCTATGTCTGATGGTCTGAAATCCATTCTAGCTAAAGGACTAAACTTTGCAGTCACACCTAGACACATACCAGTTAATTATATCATTGCCCATGTCGACGTTGCACTCAAGGGCCTGAGTCACATAGCTGCAGACGTAGCAAGATCTGAAATCGCTGCAACCCTCAAAAACGCTAAGATGCCACCTAGCAACATCAGCAAGGATGAACGCTTTGAATTATCTCAATTAAAAAAGAGAGATGACATTGTCATCCTCTCAGCTGACAAGGGCAATGCCACTGTCATCATGGACAAAATAGAATACAACAACAAAATTCAGGAACTACTCAACGATCGCAGCTATACACAAATAAGAAGATACCTCACCAACAGCCTGCTTACTAAAACCAACAAAATCATTTCTTATTCAACAGCATTAATTGATCAAACCAAACAGTTCTCGTTGAAACCTTCTGCGGCCAGACCACCAAGATTATATGGCCTTCCAAAGACACATAAAGAAGATACACCCCTTCGTCCCATCGTCTCCACTATCAACTCCCCCACCTACAAACTGGCTCATTTTCTGTCTGATATCCTACGACCTTTTACTGGAAAAACCACCTCTGCGGTACTAAACTCTGCTCACCTGGTATCGACAATCAAGGGCATTTCCCTGTCCCCAGACGATCTGCTTGTCAGTTTTGATGTGGTGTCCTTATTCACCAAAGTTTCGGTACCTGACACCATCGCAATCATTGAAGACTTGGTTCATCAAGGACTGCATACTGATGTACCCCCCCTGGTGAGACACTGATTAACCAACACATACTTCACCTGGAATGAAACTTTCTACAAACAAACTGAGGGAACCCCAATGGGCCCCCCCCTATCCTCGGTCGTAGCCAACGTGTTCATGGAAAAATTTGAAACTGACGCCATCCAGACTGCCACTATATGCCCGACCGTATGGAAGAGGTACGTGGATGACACCATTGTCATCTGGCCACATGGCCTTCATGCTCTAGACCAATTCCTCGACCACATCAATTCCATACACCCAGCCATCAGATTCACCATGGAGGTTGAAAAAAATGGCAAGCTACCCTTTCTGGATGTCTTAATTAAAAGGAGACCTGATGGTTCAATGAGCCACTCTGTCTACAGGAAAGCTACCCTTACGGATGCTTACTTAAAACCGGATTCACACCACCATCTATCCCAGAAGAATTCCCTCATCAAGACTCTATACCATAGAGCCCAGTGCATTTCCGACCAGGATCACATTGCCCGTGAACTCAAACACGTACAAGGCTAATGGTTACTCCGACTACACAATCCGCAACGCCATCACTCCAGTCACGAAGAATGTTCCTCTTGAGGAGCTATTCAAAACCATCACCTTACCCTACATTGCTGGGATCACAAAAAATATTTCCAAAATCCTGAATAAACACAAGATCCAAGTCCGTTTCAACAGAGTACATAAAATCCGTAATCTGGTTCCATCTGTAAACGATGCGGTTCCAGATATACAGTACCCGGGTGTTTACCAACTAAGTTGCCTCTGTGGTAGCAGCTACATTGGAGAAACTAAACGACATATCTCGGGCCGCATCCGCGAACATAAAGCAGACTTGAAACACTGTAGGACTAACTCCTCAGCCGTGGCAGATCACTGTTATAATTCAGTGGGCTCACGTGACATTGACTTCTCCAAGACGGAGGTTGTTTGCAAGCCATCCGGCTACCATGAGAGATTCGTTCATGAGGCCATCCACATATACATATACAAACACAGAGACAATTTCAACCAAGAATTTGGATTCTGGCTCAGTAACTATTGGAAAGATGTTATAAACCATTTCAGTTCTTAATTGATTGTATTTTACGGTGACCTTCATACCGCAGTCCATTCTCTAGCACTGCCTCTTGATACCTTTGACATCACAGTCAATAGTATGGTTTATAACATGTAGTATAATAATAAATAGTACAGCATCGTAATGTTTAACATAATTCATAAGGCAATATATTATCGTAATTTCATAATGAATATACAGCATTGTGTCATACATTAGGGTTGACAGAATAAGACAGTGTAATATTACAAGTCTGGTATTTTATAGTCTAAAGTATAGGGTAATGCACAGTAACACATTGTATAATTCAAAGGTGGAATATAGTGAATATACAACAGTGTGTCATACATTAGGGTTGGCAGAATAAGATATAATTTAATATTACAAGTCTAATATTTTTTTATATTCTAAAGTATAGGGTAGTGCACATCAACGCATTGTATAACTCAAAAAATTTCCCACTGCCCCCGTGCAGTGAACCACCGGACGTACCGCACCATCAACAGAACAAAATAATGATTAACTTAGCCCCACACCGCATCAATGTCCCCCACCGGACGTACCGCACCATCAACAGAACAAAATAATGATTAACTTAGCCCCACACCCCATCAATGTCCCCCAATTGACCCCTCCCCCCCTCCCTTAACCTGTATTTAAGCTTGAGGCCCTCAGAGCCTCCCCACTTGATCAGCGATCTTGCTGTGACTGTCCCACCTGAAGACAGAAGCTTGCGTTGCTTCTGAAACGTCGTGAGAATTTTTATTTTTATTATTTTATCCCCATTCTACGTGACTTTACTGAAATAACAAAGATGTTTAGTAGTATTTACTAACTGTAGCAACTACTGACCGTAGTAGTATCTACTGGCCCTACAGTACTATCTACTGACTGTAGTAGTAGTAACCACTGACTATACTAGTATCGACTGGCCCTACAGTAGTATCTACTGACTGTAGTAGTAACTACTGACTATAGTAGTATCGACTGGCCCTACAGCAGTATCTACCGACACTATAGTAGTATCTAGTAACTCTATAGTAGGATCTACTGACTCTATAGTATGTACTGACTCTATAGCAGTAGCTACTGACCGTAGTAGTATCTACTGACTGTATAGTAGTATCTACTGACTGTAGTAGTATTTACGGACTGAAGTGATATATACTGACTGTTTTAATATTGACTAACTCTATAGTAGTATCTACCAACTCAATAGCAGTATCTACTATCACTACAGCAGTGCAAACCGACTGCGGTGGTACCTGCTATCACTACAGCAGTGCATACCGACTGTGGCGGTACCTGCTATCACTACAGCAGTGCATACCGACTGTGGTGAAACCTGCTATCACAACAGCAGTGCATACCGACTGTGGTGAAACCTGCTGTCACGGCAGCAGTGCATACTGACTGTGGTGGTACCTGCTTTCACTACAGCAGTGCATACTGACTGTGGTGGCACCTGCTATCACTACAGCAGTGCATACCGACTGTGTTGGTACCTGCTATGACTACAGCAGTGCATACCCACTGTGGTGGTTCCTGCTATCACTACAGTAGTGGATACCAACTGTGGTGGTACCTGCTTTCACTACAGCAGTGCATATGGGCTGTGGTTGCACCTACTATCACTGCAGCAGTGCATACTGACTGTGGTGGTGCCTACTATGACTACAGCAGTGCATACCGACTTTTGTGGTACCTGCTTTATCTACAGCAATGCATACCGACTGTGGTGGTGCTGCTATCACTACAGCAGTACATACCAACTGTTTTGGTACCTGCTATGACTACAGCAGTGCATACCGACACTGGTGGTACCTGCTATCATTACAGCAGTGCATAGCGACTTTCGTGGTACCTGCTTTATCTACAGCAGT